CAGAGTTCCTCGAATAGTAATCACTGCCACCCAAATCTGTTTGGCGGCAAGCGCACTCCTCAATTGGTAATCTCCACCACCTCAATTAGTAATCACCGTAAAATTTTGTTTTCTGTGATTTGAATTTAATGCACTTTTAACACATCTTTACAGTGTTTAGATTTTTGTATTCGCCAACTCGAGTTCAACATCTACAACAAAACTAATTATATGCATAGAAAGTACTTAAAATTTACTAAAAATTATCTCATCCCACGTTAAGTAATATGCATCTCCATTTAAAAGATATTTTCAAAAAACCTTTACAGTGCTTAGATTTTTGTATTCGCCTACCCGAGGTCAACATCTAAAACAAAACTAATTATATGCATAGAAAGAGAATAAAATTTTGAAAAATTAGTATCATCCCACCCCCTACTGAAAATGAAGTATTTAGTCCACTAATAATGGGTTAAAGTTTCCTCTCTATATAAGGAGTTTAAAACAACATTCAGAGGAAAATGCCGCAAACATTCTTAAAGCGAAACTTAAAAAACGTAATATATTTCTAGCACTTAGTGTGGCATATTTATAGATTTATTTTCGAAACTAATGAGCAATAAAGAAAGCTTTAACTTTATTGTACACCATAGGGCCATTAAAAGAGGTCAATATGGTCTTATTTCTAAGAAATAAACGATTTAATGTTATGCTTTTTTGGGCTGATTACTATTTGAGGTGGTGGAGATTACCAATTGAGGAGCGCGCTTGCCGCAAAACAGATTTGGGTGGCGGTGATTACTATTTGAGGAACTCTGGACTTCCTCCCTCGTTAAAGAGACTGTATGCCAACGTAAATTTAATCAACCAGTCATTCAAAGAGCGACATATCTAATTCAAAACGCTACCCGTACCCTTTAACTCTTGGTCTGATAAAACATGAATAAGCATTTATTTTTTTTCTTATTAAAATTTGATTATTTTCAATTGTGGATTCTCTTTACAAGTAAGTTGAGGATTTCTATTGACAGAAACATTGGAGTTTGTTTTCAGAATTTAAGACTTATATCAATTTGTCGAGACAGGGACATCAGATAGAAATAATATTGGTCGTGATCAACTCTTAACTCTTCAGCCTAAACCCCCTTTCATTTTACTTTACCAGTCACATTTTAATTGTGTTTGTTTTCCTGGATTACCTGTTAAATCTTTTAAAATAATTATTTGTCAAATTATCAGTCGTATTGGTAATAATTTTCAACACATATTTTAGTTATTATGAAATCTAATAATTGTTGCTTAATGATTGTGATATTATTTTTTACAATGAAATAGAAAAAAAACGTTGGATCAAAATATTGATGAAAGAAAATTTTTAATTTCCGAAAAAGGTAGAGATGAAAATGCGCTAATTTACTAAACGAAAACTTTGCAAAGCGGGATTTTTAACAAAATATACCAACTTCTGATCCCCCCAACAGAGGAACTTTAAGTTATGTTTCGGGACAATTAAGTAAAATAACGACCCGCTCTGTGAAGTTTTGGGGAAATAAATTCTGCATTTGGATCCTAAAAGACAATAAAACTGGAAACAACTTTTTCTGGAAATTACGAATTTCACTTAAAACCCGGGTTCCCTCGACCAATTTTGTATTATCATCATGTTTCAAGTTTTAAAAAATCTATTTGTAATCTTCTTTTGTATACTTCCCCCTTACAGAAACTGAAAAAATAATGAAATATCACGTGACTAAATATGCAAAGTTTTACAACCTTATATTTTAGTTTCAGATAAGAAAATTATATGGGCATCGAGTTTCTAAATCAAAAAAATTTGTTTTTAAGCAAAATGATTTACAATTTTTGATAAAGAAAATTAACCAAGATTTACAATTTTTGATAAAGAAAATTATGCATATTTATTAGTTAATCCAAACTTAATTATATTCATACATTGTATAAATTAGATTCTTTCTCACAGAATAAATAACATTTTTAGAAATGTAATCTACAAATAATCATAAACTAACAATTAAAAACATTCTTTCAACTTGAACTTGAAATACGTTACAAAAGCAATATCGCGGATGGCATCGACATTTCTCGTCCAAGTCACATTGAAACTTTCGGGAAGCGGCTGGGTCTATTTTTCTCATTCACATTTTTTTGAGCTATTAAAATTTTAATATGAAAATATATTCAATTTGTTAAGGTGGATCAATAACAGTAACGTACTTTGAAAAAAAATAAAAAAATAAAAATGTATTTCATTTTATTTCTACCGATTCTGGAAAATATCACATCATTTGTCTTTCCTAAAGAGTATTTTTATAGCAAATAGGATCCATCCAAGGAGAGGATAAAAACTAATTCTATATATTGCCGAATACTACAGAATAGTCAGGACTCCAGGGAATACAGGGACTCCTGGAATCACAGGACTCCAGGGAATACAGGTACTTCTGGAATCACAGGACTCCAGGGAATACAGGGACTCCTGGAATCACAGGAATCCAGGGAATACTGGGACTCCTGGAATCACAGGACTCCAGGGAATACAGATACTCCTGGAATCACAGGACTCCAGGAAATACAGGCTCTCCTGGAATCACAGGACTCCAGGGAATACAGGGACTCCTGGAATCACAGGACTCCAGGGAATCAACGGAATCAAAGGAATCATAGGAATTAAGGCCGGGAATCAAGTGAATCAAGAGAATCAAGGAAATCAAAGAAATAAAATTAATCAAATTAATCAAATTAATCAAATTAATTAAAGGAATCAAAGGAATCAAAGGAATCAAAGGAATCAAGGAATCAAAGGAATCAAAGGAATCAAAGGAATCAAAGGAATCAAAGAAATCAAAGAAATCAAAGGAATCAAAGGAATCAAAGGAATCAAAGGAATCAAAGGAATCAAAGGAATCAAAGGAATCAAAGGAATCAAAAGAATTAAAGATATCAAAAGAATTAAAGGAATCAATGAATCAAAGGAATCAAAAGAATCAAGGGACTCCAGATAATCAAGAAAGCAACGTATTTAAATGAATTAAAGGAATCAATGGAATCAATGGAATCAAAGGAATCAAAGGAATCAAAGGAATCAAATGAATCAAAGGGAATGAAGGGAATCTGCAGCATATCTATCTAACCAAACTGCAAATTCTTCAATATTTGTCTTTGTGCACAACATGTGTTGCTATAAACGTGTATGAAAATAGATGTAATTATAAGTGATTGATCAAACTAAAAAAATCATACCCGTGACAGTCGTTGGTTCCAATCTGAACTGCATGCATACATCCTACACTGTAAACAATTAACATTAAAATCTGTTGCAAACCATAAAAAAAATCAACAGAACAAACAAAAAAACTTATTTTTAATTATCAATTAAAACTCTTCTGTGATCTTATTAATATTTATTGTTTTACTAGTCTACTGTTCTACAAGTATGACACTTCTAGTCTACTAGTCTACTAGTATACTATTTTACTAGTCTACTAGTCAACTAGTCTACTAGTCTACTAGTCTACTAGTCTACTAGTCTACTAGTCTACTGTTCTACAAGTCTGACACTTCTAGTCTACTAGTCTACTAGTATACTATTCTACTAGTCTACTAGTCTACTAGTCTACTAGTCTACTAGTCTACTACTAGTCTACTAGTCTACTAGTCTACTAGTCTACTAGTCTACTAGTCTACTAGTCTACTAGTCTACTAGTCTACTAGTCTACTAGTCTACTAGTCTACTAGTCTACTGTTCTACAAGTCTGACACTTCTAGTCTACTAGTCTACTATTTTACTAGTCTACTAGTCTACTAGTCTACTAGTCTACTAGTCTACTAGTCGACTAGTCTACTAGTCTACTAGTCTACTAGTATACTATTCTACTAGTCTACTATTCTACTAGTCTACTAGTCTACTAGTCTACTATTTTACTAGTCTAGTAGTCTACTAGTCTACTAGTCTACTACTTTTTTCTAGCCTTTTTTATTTACTACAGTGAAACCCTTAATAACGAATACATCGAAAGAATTCATCAAATGTCGTATTCTTCACTTTCTGATAATGGAATGTTGCAGATATTTAGTTTTTTAATCAAACGATTATATGGAACTCTTTAAATCTGTTCCCGCAAATTCATAGCTATTTATTTATTTTCGCAAATACTGAAATTTACGTAATATAGTATAAACCTCATTGAAAATTTGTCAAGACGACATTTGATAAATTCTTCCCATGTATTAGTTATTAAGGGTTTCACTGTAGTAGACTCTTCTACTGGCCTCTTCTGTGATCTTATTAATATTTATTGTTTTACTAGTCTACTGTTCTACATCTACTATTTTACTAGTCTACTAGTCTACTAGTCTACTAGTCTACTAGTCTACTAGTCGACTAGTCTACTAGTCTACTAGTCTACTAGTATACTAGTCTACTAGTCTACTAGTCTACTAGTCTACTAGTCTACTAGTCTACTATTTTACTAGTCTAGTAGTCTACTAGTCTACTAGTCTACTACTTTTTTCTAGCCTTTTTTATTTACTACAGTGAAACCCTTAATAACGAATACATCGAAAGAATTCATCAAATGTCGTATTCTTCACTTTCTGATAATGGAATGTTGCAGATATTTAGTTTTTTAATCAAACGATTATATGGAACTCTTTAAATCTGTTCCCGCAAATTCATAGCTATTTATTTATTTTCGCAAATACTGAAATTTACGTAATATAGTATAAACCTCATTGAAAATTTGTCAAGACGACATTTGATAAATTCTTCCCATGTATTAGTTATTAAGGGTTTCACTGTAGTAGACTCTTCTACTGGCCTACTATGAAGTACTTTAATCTTTAATTACACATCTAACAGTCAATTAGATAAGATATAAACAAATAAACAAACAGCTTGGTTTCTATTTTGATTGGCAAATATGTATATTGTATATTATATATTATTATATTGAATAATATGAGAATCTAGAAATCTACTATTTTTCAATTATCATCAAAGTTTTCAGATTAAATAAAATTGAAAATGAAATATATGTTTCTCTTGACACCTACACTTTTCCTGGTTCTACATTCTTCTTTTCCTGTAATACAAGCAAGGTAAGCGTTATTGGCATGTCTGATTCGCAATGGTACCCTTTAAACCTCTATTTAAGTAACAATGGGGAGGCTTTCGTCAAAAACATGCTGAATTTCAACAGTTTACTTTGTTGAGTTTGTTGTATAATTCCGCCAGCCAATTGTTCTAGAGAAACCACCGATTTAAAATAATCATTTTCAATTATCACATTCATTATTGATCAGATATATTTTGAAAGAGTATCGTTGTGATTGTGAATCAAAGGAATTGAGTTTTTGCCACAAACTCTGATTTTCTGATCTCTATACAACTCAATATTGTATATATTTGATATTTCAAACTTTGAATTATGTTAGATCAAATAATTAAACTTTGAAATATCAAAGGTTTTAACCATCAGGTTGTAAAGATACAGAAAGTTAACAATTTGAGTTTGTTGCAAAAACTCAGTTCCTGTTTAAATGGAAGGTTACTTGAAATTAGGTCCAAAGTCCTTTAAAATTTACGTTTAATATTGATATTTTGGCAGATAAATATTGTTTAAATGCTTGCATTAAATAATAATCATTCACTATTGAGACCGGGCAGAATTTGAATGTTCGCCAGGCCGTTTTCCTTTCTTGCAACTCTGAATACCAAGATTTAAAGAACTACAAGCTATCTAGTTTCCACTTTGATGGTTGACAAGTGTAGGAATGTACTATTTACAAATTACTATGGTACACCCACTCATTCTTAATTCTAATAATATACAACGTTTTTCTCCGTAGTCGTTCGTCAGACAAAGGTTTCTGGCCGGGTATCAGCTTTGTAAGTCGAACATACCTCTCTAAAAATGAAGGGTTGCTTTAAATAAATTTTAGGTTAAAGGGACAGACCGGCTATGTAAGGTAGTTAAACATATAAAACTTGTTAAAGGGATAGACCGGCTATGTAAGGTAGTTAAACATATAAAACTTGTTAAAGATCTGTAAATCTTGAGTTTGAGCGCAAAGTCGACGTTCAAAATTATACGTTTTCAGAATTATTTTTTTAAAATTATTAAATAACGAGGACAAAAAATATAAACAAAATTCTACAGTAAACTAATTAGTTGTTTAGGAAAAGGTTGGGAAAATAAAAATTAATCTTATCATGAAAAATAATTAATCTTATTCAATTATTAGTTTCTATAATCTCTTTTTCATCACAAAGAAATCTGCGAACAAATTCATAGGAAATAAAAATTCAATATAATGACGAGAAAGGAAATAGTTAATTTTAACTTTGAGAAATATGTTCCCAAACATCTAATTAGTTTACTATAGAATTTTAACTATATTTTTCGTCGTCGTATTTTAATAAAACGTACCCGCCCAAATTCATGATTTTGACCGTCGACTTTGCGCTCAAAGGGACTATAAAGGAAAAATGAAAGGGGATATAGGATGAAACCCGAGAATCTCAAGCGTTGAACGATAGATATAAGACATCTATCTGATGTTACTGTCTCTAGAAATTGATATGAAATTGATTTCCGTCTGTATCACGTGACCAGTATCCTTCCCTGCCATGAGCTGAAGTTCTCGTTGCGTATTTGCTAAATATGATCTGTTTAAACCTACTACTTTTATACAAAATTGTATTTATATGAATTTTCGTATAATTTTGAATTGACATAGTTATCTATCAATTTCTCGAGACAGAAACATCAGAGAGATGTTTTGTATGTATCGTTCAACTCCTGAGATTCTCAGGTTTCATCCTTTACTCCCTTTCATTTTTCCTTTACAGTCCCTTCAAACTCGGTACTTATACATCGTGGAAACGTTTAATATGTCTCAAATGAACCCTAAAGAATTTGTCCACAAAACTGCATACTCAGTTTAACTACCTTATATAGCCGGTCTGTCCCTTTGAAATGTTTCTATTTCGTTGCTAGAAACTGAAGATTAATTTTGACTCGACTTTTCTTGTAAAATGAGATGAAGTTTTTCCTTATTCTAAATTTTACATTTACGTCTAGAAAGCTAATTTTAAAGTTATTCAAGTTTTTGCGATTCTTGTATTTAGTGTTTTCTTACACTACTCAAATGCAAAAGTTTTAAAACACTTTTATTTTTGCACACTTTCACACTAATTAAAGGTGAAACTATGTTGCACTTCTTTCATAAAAAATGCTCTAATCCGTTTTGTACCAGTTCAAACTAGTTTCTTAGAAACAATTTAAATACAATTTAAACCTTTTTTTGAAATTTAAAATTTATTCATATTTTTGCTTTATAACTTTAAACAACGGGGTTTTCTATGCTAAAATTATTACTTTTAAATTGAAATAGTTTTAAAAGGAATTGAGTCTTTGCAGCAATCTATGATATTCTTATCCTTATATCTTTGCAACCCAATGTCAGAGATCTTAGATATTTCAAATTATAAATTCCGTTAGATCAAATAATCTAAGTTTGAAATATCTAACGTCTACACCATTAGATTGCAAAGGTAAAGGTTTCTAGAAATTTAAGTTCGTAGCAAAGACTCAATTTCTTTCTGCTTTGGTGGAAAGAAAAAGATTAATTACTAACGTGCATCTTGAGAAAATTTGAAGGTTCAGAAAATCTAAATATTCCAGAACATCCAGAAAATATGGGGCACACGGTTCGACAATTATTATTTTAAAAACCCATAATTTAGACAATACTACCCGACACCGGAGTCAAAGAATGAGTCTGGATTGCAAATGTTGAAATCTATTTGGTAAATATTTTTCAACAATATTATGTCTTGTGTACTAAGGATAAAGTTACTTGATTTTACTCAGAAATATTACAAATTCCAAGAAAGATTCTTTTACCAATTTTTATCTTAAGCATGAAATTTCACAGGAAAAAGTTCTCACCCACTTCCAATTTCAAAATTGCGAGAAAATCTGTGTTTGATAACTTTTTTAAAAACTTTTTTGTTACTTGTTCTTTTAAGTTTTTACATCTAAAAACAGAGTCTCACTGATTGAATTTCAAATTTTGTCTTTTCATTAGGGAAGAGAGAATTAAACGTGCAAAAGAGAGAATTAAGCTGGAAAATACGAAATCAGGTTAAATTTAATTTTTATCAAAATGTCAAAGTTTTTTTTTCATAATTTCAATGAAAATAATCACTTATTTAGACTCAGATTTATATTTGCCTGCTAATGGAGCTCTGGCCCATTTGATAATGCTAGAAGAAACTGTCCCCACTACTTCGATCCCAGTCCAGATTCAAAAAACGAACCCATACATCAAATCAATTTATGAAATTAAAAAAATGCGGAAAGTAAACAAAACTGAGACTAGTAAGTTTGAAGATTTAAAGAATTTATCCAACAATTCTAATAATACGGCCTCCATTGAAACAATTCTTTTTAACAACACAGATGAAGTTTTTACATTGGAATCAGCTGATCCGAGAAGTACAGCTAACTCAAAAGAAACAGCTGATCTGATAAAAACAGCTGATTTGATAAAAACAGTTGATTTGATGAAACCAGCTGATCCAATAAAGTTAAATAACCCAATGGAAACAGCAGGCTTAATGGAAATAGCAGATCAAATGAAAAAAGCTAAACGGATAGAAACAGCTGATATGATGGAAACAGCTGACGCCAGTTTGGAGGATTTCAGCATTGAAGATTTGTCAGATGTGGTTTTGATTAATAAGGAAATTATGCCAACTAGTGCAGAGCTTAAACATTTTGTTTATCAAGTCAAAAGTAAAATCCCAGAGGGTGATGAAAAAGTCAAAAGAGAATGGGCAGAGAAAAAAGAAAAATACCTGGTTAAAAAAACTAGAAAGGTTCTTGAAGGAATTAAAGAAGAAATGGATGGAAGTAACGATGAAGAAACTGAAATGGAAGAAGTTAAAGATCAAGAAATGAAAAATGAAGCATATAAGATGGAATTGAAAGAAAAGCTAGAAAACTTTAAAAATAAGATGATGAAAAATGTTCTGAATCAAAAGAGAAAAGAAGATATAACATTTGACAAAACAAAAGTAAACAATGGTCATCATAGAACAAATAAAGAGCCAATAAAGGATTTTAATGCAGAATCAGATCAAATTGAAGTTGTTGAGAAAAAAACCATGAACAAAAAAAATATTTCAACTCAAATCGATGATTATGATGAATTGCTTGAAGATAATTCTGACAGTGAAGATATTGCTCTAAAAATTAAATCATTAGAAGAACAAGATGATCTTGTAAATAAGGTAAGCATTGAAGAAGCAATGAATGAAGAAGAACAGAATGAGCGAAAAAGCGATGAGAAATATTGGAGGAATGACGAAGATGACTTGAATGATAATAAAGAAAAATCTGAGAATGATCAGGCAGAATCCAGAGTCAGTAATATCTATGAATACGATCTTTTTTCAGCAGAGATTTCTTCCCAGGTTAGGTTCAAAGAAAATTTCAAGATTTTTTTATTTTAGCAATTTCAACATTTTAGTCTTGCTTCCATTTTTAAAAAATATTCTGCATCAAGTAGAAAAATGAATAAAAATTTCAACAATAAATTTTATTTTCATTTTCAACTTTTTTTACAGGACGGAAATGATGGAGGTGTGATAGATCTCACAGAATACTGGAATATTGAACCGAGCAACGTTTTTACAAGAGAGGTTCCAAGTTCAGGTGACATTTTTACAAACATTTGCAAGGTTACAAGTAAACCTATATATATATATTATTATGTTTTTCTCGAGCAAACCTATATATATATAATTATGTTTTTCTCGAGCAAATCTATATATTTATAATTATGTTTTTCTCGAGCAAACCTATATATTTATAATTATGTTTTTCTCGAGCAAACCCATATATATATTTATTATAAACAGCAAGTTCATGTTACATGCAGAATAGAAGAAGTAAAAATGTCTTTTTTCATGCAGTGCCTAGGATCCGAATCCGTTCAAATAGATAACTGTCGACCAAAAATTTGTGTGGAAACATTTTTGCCTTGCAAACCTCACATTGGTTGTCAATTAATAAGAAATAAGAAACTTAGCTAATTATTGTATGGATCCGTAACATTTTGGTTTACACCGGCCGAGGGGCAAAATATCAATCTCAAAACCTGATAAATCTCAAAGTTCTAACATCAACTGTAAACTAATGAGAATTATAAAAAACATCATAATATCTCTGAATCTAAAAATTGGTAAACTTTGCATAAATGTTCATGACCTGGGTCTGGATCCGTTTTAGGATTTGACGGAACCTGGATCCGGATCCTAAGCACTGCATTGTTCATACCTATTGTGGAATAGTCCGTCATGAGACTTATATTTTAGAACTGAGCCTCCCAGTTTATTTCGTGGTAGAGGCGAGCATCCGAAGCAGGGGATGGTGAAGAGGAGAATAGTACCAGAGGATGTGATAATCAACTGTTCTAAGGTTAGTTAATAAATGATATTTTATTTAGATCTGGGGTTTATCTAGGATTAGTCCGAGTGAACATTTAAACACCAAAAAATATCACTCCAATATTTTAGCAAATTAAATCTACACCAAATATGCGGGCACAAATAATTTTTTAGTCCATAAAATCGGTCAATACACAGTCCAAGAAATCTGCCACAAACTAATCATACACCTGATACTAAATCTTTAGATGAACCCCTGATTAAGATAGAATAAAGTTCTATGTTTTTTTTCGGCGTTTTTAAACTTTAATGCTTATTTATTTTTTGATAAATCAATGGGTTCGAAATCATCTTTTTTGAAAAAACTGCTTGTTTTTCTCGGTGGAAAAGGTTTTTTAAAGTGAACGAGTTCTAAAAAATTTGCCACCCAAGATCATCAATCCCCAAGCTTGAACTGCCTCTTCTGAAAGGAGAGGGATAACTCGTGTTTTTATTTTACCGTCTTTATTTCTAGGATTCCGAGATCCCAGCTCCTCCCAAGGGTAGAAAGTGGAAGAAGGTTCAGCACGATAACTCTGTTACTTGGCTTGCATCCTGGACTGAGAACATTCAGGTTCGATAATATTATTATTCGCGCGAGAAATAAATTATTTCGAACCCGTCCTGGTTCGATGTTCGGTGCGTTGTCAGATTAAGTGATTTATGTTAATCCCGTAATCTTCAAGGATCAGATTAGATGAATCATAGTGAGCCGTCCTTGTTTAGGGTCAGATAAAGTACATCATGTTAAACCCGTCCTTGTTTAGGGTCAGATAAAGTACATCATTTTAACCCGTCCTTGTTTAGGGTCAGATAAAGTACATCATTTTAACCCGTCCTTGTTTAGGGTCAGATAAAGTACATCATGTTGAACCCGTCCTCAAAGTTGAAGGGGGAGAAGGATTGGCAGAAGTATGAGAAGGCCAGGAAGCTAAAGGACAAGATTGACCAGATACGAGACGATTACATGCAGGTACAAATACTTACAGCTTAAATATGGAGATCCGTAAACTTGTATTAAGTCTATTTTCATTATCAGGGGAACAGGATTGAAAGTGAAAAATATACGATCGGACTGACCGCGGTCTTTCCTAGAAACTTCAGTACTCTTTCTTTGTTGCAAGGCCAAGATTTTCTTGATCTTAGATATTTATAAGGAATGTTTTGATTGTAACAGTTCTATTTTTAGGATCTGAAAAGTAAGGAGATGAGAGTCAGGCAGAGAGCTGTAGCACTCTACTTCATCGGTAAGTGTTTTTTGTATATTTTCTCTCATCCGTTTTACGTTTTTCTCCAAGATAGATGTCCTTAAACCTGCACTGTGCACACATTTTAATGGCTTACTGGATACGGATTCAAGAGCAAAGAAATTGAGTCTTATAGTCACAAAATCAAATTTTCTTTACTTAATTTTCCTTAAATTTAACCATCTCTTGTGCCAGTAATCCATCCTTATACCTTATATCCACATTATTTTACACAAAGTTTCTTAATGCATTTTCTTCCTGATTTCCCATTTAAAAGTGATTCTATCTTGTTCAGATAAACTGGCGCTAAGAGCTGGTAATGAGAAGGACGAGGATCAAGCAGATACTGTTGGTTGCTGTTCTCTCAGGTTAGAATTAAATATTGTATTTGTCAGAGATACTCTCGTTTTGTGTTATATAATAAGGTTCCAACCTTAAACTTTTCCCCAGATTCAAACATTTTCAACAAAAAATTTAATCTCAACGATTCCGGGGGGGGGNTGATAATTGTTATAATTCAGGTTCGAGCATATAGAACTACATGACGAGTTGGACGGGAAGGAATATGTTGTCGAGTTTGATTTCCTCGGAAAGGATTCCATCAGGTAGAGGAAAAATAACAAAGAATGTTAACGAAGAAGGATTATATTTATAAAAAATCTTGTCTGTTTCTCTCAAGATCTAAGAGGACTTTCTGATAATTCGTTTAGCTCATATATTGGCATGGGAATTCAAACTAGCATCAGTTTTATTGTATTTTTACTGAAATTTCCATAAAAGTCCATAAAGATTGGCCTGTTTATAACGACTGCCTATATAACCTTCTAAAGGAATCGGAATCGGACCAATCGGGATTGGAATTGGACCAATCGGGATTGGAATTGGACCAATCGGGATTGGGATTGGAACCTATAATTTTAATGTACTTCGCTGCTTGGACGAAAATAAACAAAGGTCAGTCTGAGTGGCAATGTTTCTTTCCTCACAGAAACTGCAGATCACATTATTTGTAAACAAAAGGTTCCTGGAATGCACCAACTAGTTTATCTCAATCTGTTAACTTTGTCCGAAACTGAATGTCTTCTACATAAATATTTCTTCCAGGTACCAGAACTCTGTAGCTGTTGAGAAGAGGGTTTACAAAAACCTGAAACTGTTCATGGAGAATAAAAAGTCCGGAGATGATATATTCGACCGGTTGAACACTTCTATTCTCAATCAGTATCTCAACACTCTGATGGATGGTCTCACGGCAAAGGTATGGTTTTTGTCAACGGGTTCCTTCAAATGTTATTTTAAATAATGTTTTTCATTCACTTTATATGCTTGGTATAAATCTTTTTTCAAGTTAATAACGCCTATAAATCAAAAAAAAAAGTTATTTAATCGGGAAATTTTATAATCGGTCATGAGAGGATTAGTGGTCATTTAAGCGTTTTTCGGACACTGACAGCTTCCTATCATGCTTTGTAATCCAGGTTTTCCGTACTTACAACGCTAGCTTTACTCTACAGCAGCAATTGGATGAGCTAACACAGGACGAGGATCCAATACAGGCTAAACTTCTCAGGTTAGATTAAAAGTTTTAGAAACTACCAGGGTTATCCACAAATAGTGAGACTTCAGAGACGACTGTAATGATTTTTATCTTTGCTCAATTGCTTGTCGTAGTTGAAAACTAATTTTTTTCTTGGCTTAAATTCCGCTCTTTGTTAAAGTGAAGTTATTTCGGGGTTACCACTGAATATTATCCAGGAAGTATTGAGGAATTAATTCTTATTCAAAATGCTTTTCTCAATTGTTCACTAAAAGAATGATCTCTGGAACATCTCCGTATTAAAGCTGATTAAAAATGGTGTATTTTCAGTTACAACCGAGCCAATCGTGCCGTTGCTGTCCTGTGTAACCATCAGCGTGCGGTCCCCAAAACCCATGATAAATCTATGGAAAATATCAACGTCAAGATCGAGGCTAAGCAAGACGCAATCAAGGCTGCGCAGAAGGAGCTGAAATCCGCGAAGAAGAATTACAAGAGCGGTGGATCCGGCGACAAGGGTCTGGTAGATAAGAAGAAGAAGAACCTGGAAAGATTGCTCGAACAGTTGGAGAAACTCGAGATACAGAAAACTGATAGAGATGAGAACAAGAGTATTGCTCTGGGTACATCCAAGCTGAACTACTTGGATCCTCGTATATCTGTCGCCTGGTGCAAGAAGCATGAAGTTCCTCTGGAGAAGGTTTACAATAAAACCCAGAGAGAGAAATTCCGTTGGGCCATCGACATGGCAGATGCAGATTATACATTCTAAATATGTATTATCAGATGCAGACTGGTATTATGCCAGACTAGCTTTTTTAGGACATAATTCGTAGAACGCCGACGCACGACTTGTACGAAACATTTAAAAAAACGTTTACACAAATTTGCTTTTGTCCCTGGACTAAACCATCAACTGTGTTCATAGTGTTGCAGATATGGAAAGCTCTGCTAGTTAATTAAGTCTATTAAATCAATTCACTGTGTTATGTAATTATTACATTTGAACCCTACACAATCTTGTTTCATGTTTGTGTCCCCTTCGTGCATTCTTGGGTTCACTTTTCTTATCAATATTTTTTTCTTTCTAGTTCTTACATAACATAAATATTCTACACGTTAGTTATACAATCTTATATCTTTGGCTGGACTGCTAGGCTTATTTGAGGATCCTGAATCGGTCAGATTTTTTTCTTATTTTTTACAGTATGCATCACACTGACTGCTTGAAAGAGCACAGTTCAGTTGTGAAATCGCTATTTATTAATTGTAATTAGAATGTATGGTGCCAATTTGCGAATTATTCTGATCTTGGCTTTGTTTATTTTTATAAAAATTTGAAAATGTAAAGTGATCTGAATGTTATTTTTGATTTATGTTGTCAATCTTTAATTTAAATTATTTTGTTTCCGCCTAGGGGAAAAAAACTTATTAAGCCATTGACCGTATTTTTTTAATTTTGTTAATATTTAAGGTATTTGAACGAATAATTGTGAATAAACGAGTACAGCCTTAGTATTTAAACTTTTTTACTGGCGTTATTTGTAATGGAAAATAAGGGCCATTAGAAGATTTGGGTTCTTAGAGGGAATTTTGGTAGACTTGGAATATTAGATAAAATCCTAATGGTTATGTTCGATATTTAGACTATGTCGACAATTATTCCTCTTATTTGGACTGAATTGGTAATTTCTAGAATTTCAAATGACCTTCCAGTCAAAGATGACAATGCCCGATTCACAACGGTACCCTTAAAAGCAGTGCTCAGGATCCGGATCCGCAAGATTTTAGCTTCCTGGATCCGGATCCGCAAAATATGCGGATCCAAGGGGTAAAATATCAACCAAAAACTGCGAAAAAAAAATCTTTTTTACTCCAAAACTCTGAAAAAAAAGATTATAAAAAATCCTCATTTTTGAATGGTTCATCAAGTTTTCGGATAAAAAGAAACGAAAAAAATAAAACCAAAGATTTTAAAAAATTTTTATGTTAAAAAATTTCAGTAAATCTGAAAGAAATGACCTGGATCCGGATCCATTTTTTTCCAGTGCGGATCCAGGATCAGGATCCGGATCCGCATCAAAATTGAATGGATCCTAAGCACTGCTTAAAAGCTTTTTCTGATCACGGATTATTTATCATCTTGAAAGCTGTTAATTTATAATTGTGGTTTCACTACGAAGGATCAGAAGTTATAACTTTTATTATTGATAAGATAAAGGTTCCAAGGATACCGTTTTTACTAAGAAAAGTAGAGACTTACATTCATTTATTAGATTTATAAACTAAAGTTTAGCCTGGTCATCTAGGATCTTTTTATTTAAACCCATACTTTTTCAGATCTCTTATAAATTTTATTTCTATAGTTGTCGATGAACCCTTAATTCTTTTCGTGGTAACTGTTTTTCCAACGTTGTACCTTAGTTGTTACTTATTTGGTACCCGTAGTTCCATAGTAGTTTTGCGTGTGGTAACCATTGTTCCATAATTATTTTGTTTGTGGTAACCCTTGTTCCATAATTATTTTGTGTGTGGTAACTGTTGTTCCAGAGTTATATTTTGTGTGGTAACCGTTGTTCCAGAGTTATTTTTTGTGTGGTAACCGTTGTTCCAGAGTTATATTTTGTGTGGTAACCGTTGTTCCAGAGTTATATTTTGTGTGGTAACCGTTGTTCCAGAGTTATATTTTGTGTGGTTTACCGTCGTTTCAGAGTTTTTAATTGTGTGGTAACCGATGTTCCAGAGTTATATCTTCTTTTGCAACCGGTTACAAAAGATCGTTTATTTTATTATGTTAATCTTTATCTTATCCCGTTAAACATTAATTTGAAATTAAAGAGAAAGAATGACCCCTGAGACTAAATTAGGATATTTATCCATCTCGATTTTTTTACTTATTATTATGATCTCTTTAATTGCATATTGTGCTCGAGAAAAGAATTGAAAACTTTGGATCGTCTTAGTGAGACAATTTTATTAAGGCACTGATTTTTTGCCACAAACTCGGATTTTTTAATCCCTATATCTTGGCAACCCAATGTCGTAGACCTTTAATATTTCTAACTTTAAATTCTGATAGATCTTAAATATCAAAGGGTTACTTATTTCAGGCGGCAAAGATATAGAGATTTGAAAATTTGAGATTGTGGCAAAACCTCAGTTTCGTTACAATCTTGTCTTATTTTGATTCCTGCAAATCCATATTAGCATTTCTTTGCAACATTTCAGACGACAAAATCATATTTATTTCAAAAGACCGAATAATTCTATGTGATACTTTCAGAGTTCAAGGTCGTCATTAAATTCTCATCTTCTGTGGGTTATCCTGTAACAGGTTTAACAACCCTTGGTTAGAGTTTAGGCACACTACGCATGCAGGAGATGGCAAAGATGAATAATCTGGTGACACAAGGCCGCCGGGTAACTGAGAGGGGGAGAAGGAGGAAGGAATATAACTGGAGGGGTTGGGGTGTGGGGAGTGAGTCAGGATTTCACCTTGCCTGCAGCTAGGGTTTTCTGAGTCATCTCTTTTAACGTTGGGACCGTTCGTATGATAAAAATGCGGGGGCCGTTCATGATTATCACCAATTTATGACTATATTTTATTTTATAACATTTAACTTATTTCTCAAACTGCATTAGTCGGGTTTCATAGTGATTTTGTTTGAAGAGAAATTATTATTCTTAGTTTAATAGTTAGTTGCGCACCGACCTGCCAGCTTCAGGTTGCGTACCAGTGCTCCGGGTACTCCTCTCCACCGCGGTTCTTTATTCTCCTCTCCAGTATAGGCGGGGAACAGGAAGGAAATACAGGCAGTTAGTTAGTTCCGAGTTCTCTCTTAAACCACAACTCGGAACTTGATCTGGTTTAAACCATTTTATTCTGGTTTTAAATCAGTTAAATTTTCTTCGTGTTTATCGAGCCACCAGGGGTAATTTTTTGAAGTTAATGAAACTATAAGCATTAGCTAGTGAACAATTATGGGTGCGGCCGGTGGGGGGGGGGGGGTCACGTCTTCACGACCTTGGGGGCTTGTTGCCTATATACAGCTTAAACCATTCTCATGCTCACACGATTAACCTCATCATGATTCTAGGTTTAACGACGTAGTTTTCAGATTAGATATGTCGGGAGATAAAGTTGAGCTGCCAAGGATTGGAGAGACCCTGAAGGGTGAACTCCTGAAGGAGCATGCTCTCAAACCTACCGAGGCAAATGAGAAGAACATTCTCCCCACAGCAGAGGATGTCAAGCAGGAGAAAACTCATCAAAGCATTCTTTCAGGTGTTTTAACACAGCCATTGTTTTGTTGTGTCATTAAAATATATTCTCTAATTATCAATTAATATACTGAAAGTATATTATTGATATTTAAATCTCCGGAAGTACTAGGAGAGGAGGGGGGGGGGGGAAGAATAAAAAGAAACCTTAATGAAGGTATAATTTATAATTTATGTGTGGGCGTGGGATAGACTTTTCTCTGTGTAAAGTGCATTTAAAAACTTGAGAATTTGGAGTTTTAATTTTATAGTAGTTAACCTGACTACAGGGTATCATAAACCGTCATGTTATAGTAAAAAATTCAATTTTATAACCCTGTCAGGTTCTAATCTCTCAGCTTCCCAACTAGCCTGTAAAACATGAAGAAACGTGTGAACTGGCATCATTATACCGCATTTTCTCAACTCACGTCAATTTTTATTACGAATTAGAAAATGATCTATTTGCAAGGATATCTAATATTCGGTGATGAATATGGACCAAACCTCATGGAGCAATCAAAGTAGATGTTAGTTCCACATTTTATTGAAAATATTTGTCGGCCTGGGTTGACCCTCGTCAGTTCTTGAGATTGTTTCTGTCAGGAAGATTAAACAAACTTTTTTTTTTATTTCTCACTTCTTTTCTATATTGTCAGTAAATCAATGTTTAAGATAAAAAAACTTCCAACTCGGTTATATTAGGATTTCAGACATTATCTAGTGTTTAAACCGGTTTTTTTGACATTCTGAAAAATCTACAATTTTTGTAATCTTTTGATAGATGGCAATGCCCGATTCACAACGGTTTTCTTTAAAGCGCTGTCTAATTCTGATATCAATGTTTACAAATTTTATAACTGATTCAATATTGGGTTTTCTACTAATAGAGTGAATTGCGCATTTCTTCAAATAGGAATTATCATTAATAAACACTTTAAAACCTAGAGGAAACGACACCATCTGCCTCATTAATAAGATAAAGCTTTCAAGGGTACCGTTGTGAATCAGGAATTTGAATCTTTTTATGGAGGGTTACTTCAAATTACGTTTACAGTCCCTTTAAACAATCTAAAACGAAAGAATGGAGCGAAAATAAAAAGCCGCCACATCCAATCTTAAGTTTTCTACTCTAATTGATGTAAACATGCTTTTAATGCTAAAGAACCCATACAACTTCACAATTTCATTTTCTCCTTCATAATTATATATATTTCTAATTATAGTTTTTTTTCTAGGAATTGAAGGGTTCAACTCTGAACAGTTAAAACCTACCGAGACAAATGAGAAAGTAGTTCTCCCTGCCTCCTCAGATATTCAGGCGGAGAAAACTCATCAAGGATTAATCCAGGGGGTTGAATCCTTCTCCAGTGAACAGCTCAAGAACGTTAAAACCAGGGAACCCCAGTCTCCTACAGCTATTCTCCAGGTACAGATTATCCATCCGGTGCTAGAATTTTACCCAGTTGATATTTTAAACCTTAATCTAGGTTTAGAAATAAACCTTAAACTATTAAAGTTTAAGGTATTCCAGCAAACCAGCAAAAATTATAAAAATATACTGATATTTCGTGAAGAACTTTTGTGCAATATGTGACAAAAATCAACATTCTTCAGTCTTCTGATTGTGCAGTATTGTTGCGTCCTGGTCTACGTTTTATGTCTAAACCTCGAACTAAAATATTTAGTTTTAATTAAAATTCATTATTAACTAGCTGTATTACATCCTGTTCCTGATAACAGAACAGTTTACTCTTTATTGGAGCATATGACGGTCTATTTCTAGTAATACGTATATACACTATACAGGATGCATTTATCCTTCTATTATATTCTGTATACAATAGTTAACCGGGGGGGGGGTATGTTTGCTCAGGGTGTCATGGAATGCTCAAGACTAACTTCGTTTTAAAGTGATTGTTGACTATCTCTTTTAAGAGTTTTACCATCTCAATGACTGAATCGGAAACGATCGATTTTCAGACAAAAAATCAAGGATATCTCCTTCTCTCAGCCAGAGACTTAAAAATTACTTTCCTTTTACGAATCGAAATCATTGTTTTTCCAGTGAATGATTTGTTATGCCTAAACGATTTTGAAACGCCCTGTATGCTCCTGCGTAGGTTTAGTTTAAGGTTTGAAGATTGAATTGGATTATATTACAGAGCATGGTAAACTAGATAAAATGTATAGATTAGATCCAGAGAGAGAGAGAGAGAGGGTTAGATCAATTGTTAGGATTAGATTACAAGTTTAATCTATATAAGTTTGTCTGTCTGTTTGTTTGTATCCAATAAACGTCAAAAAGGCTGAAACGATCGGGCCCAAATTTTGTGTCGGACTTTGCATGACCCCAGTGAAGGGTTTTGGATGATCAAAATTTCAAAAATTAGTCTCGCACAAAATTCGATTTTCATAACATTTTAAAATCCATAAAAAAAGTTTTATAAAATCCGCGAACTTTTTTTGTTATTATTTTACAATATATACAAAAAGGAAATGTTCCCAATTGAAATAGAAGATGTCCTGGGCGCAAAGCGCTCTGAAAACCTAGTAAATTTAAATACAGGGATTTGAAATTAAAAGGATTACAAGCGAATTGTTGTGTAGAGTTAAAAAAGGATTTAATGGACATAATTTCAAGTGATTCTTCTTTGATAGCGTAGCATGTCTGATTTATAACGGTACCCTTAAACATTTTGTCGTATATATCCATGTTTTTGTTTTTAAAACTAATTTTTTTCATTTGTAAATTCTTTAAAACAGTTACTTGTAAATTTCTCGCTTCAGAAACTAGGGAAATTTTTTAGAATAAAGCATTTTTCAAGCTAGGAAAACGACGTTATCTACCATATTATTAATCATTTCAAGGGTACATGTTGTGAAATGTATCTTTATATCTAAGTTCACTTGAAATTTCTTCTACAGTCCCTTTAACAGTGAAGTGTTTTCATACATTTGTATATTTCATTTATGATTCATGATATAATTGTGTTCATTTTTAATTTCTAGGTTAATTTTTAATTTATATTTCTGATAACATATTTGCGCAGTTGAATATTAACAAATGTTTATATTTTTAATCCTAAATCCTGTATTGAATGCCGGGATAACGTGACCGGTTTTAATTTTACTAAAACCTTTTTTTTACATGGAAAACTTTAGGTTTTTAAGAATAGTTTACAATGAAATTGATTACTCGCCTTAATTTTAATTTTCACATCCTAACATTTAAATCTGTTTCGTAGACCATATATTTTAAATATAAGTTCTAACTGATTCAAAAAACCAAAGTTTGAACTATCGAAGGTGTACATTATCAGGTTGCAAAGATGTAGGGATTATAAAGTTAGATTTTGAGGCGAATAATCCGTTTCCATTGAAAATTGATTGAAATGAAGCATTTTTACAATTTTAATTGTTTTTATAATGTTTTTAATATTCTTCTTTTGAATTGGAAAATCTATTTTTACTATTTTCTCTTGTTCATGAATTATTTGTATATAAACGACATATGCTGTTAGAGTGCTAGGTTTCATGGATGATAAGACATATCAGTAGTATCAAGCTTACAGAGGCTAGTATTTAATTATACAAATATGAAGTGTCCGGCTTTGCCCGTGGAATTTTACAAACACTTGAAAAATTAGAATTTTGAAAGAAAGAAAAAATAATTTTTAAAAAATCGATTTTTAAAGACAGAAAAATAAATAAGAATTTTTAGCCTATGTTACCCTCAGGGTACCCATGAGTTTCCTCAAAGTTTTAGCCTACTCGGTCCAGCCGTTTGGCCAGCTATAGCTAATTCATAAATATATATGTATACAAATATATAAAGAGCTTTATTATATAGATGTGAATATGTAAATTTAGATAGGAAACCTGTAAACGAAGGACACCTAGAGAATTATATGATTTGTTTTAGAATAGGATAATTCAGGAGGGGGGGGGGTTAGTTTTTTCCCCTAATGGAGTGGGGGGGCTTCCTAAATAAGGGAAGATAAAAGAAGCAGAGCAGCCTAAGGATTAGGAGTGTCCCTAACATAAGGGAGGGGAGGCAGGTCTTTTCCTCAGTGTAGAGCAACATCAAGGAAATGGCAAAGAGGGCAGTCGCTGTCCCAAGGGAGGGCAAATCTGAAAAAAGGAAGTGGGCAGTCCTTAGCCTAAAGGATTGGGGGGCAGTTCCTATCAGAAGGGATTTAAAAATATAGGGAAAGGTGCAGTTCCTATCCAAGTTTAGGGGAAGTTAATATTTTCAAAAATTTATGTATTGCATATAAAAGGGAGAACATTTTCAGATTTGGATTTTTGGGTCTGAAGATGCATGAACTCTTAGAATACGTTATTATAAGTTTCTATAAACCGTGGGATAGAGTTTTGTCTGGCTAAATACCGTTATGCAGGATCATATTTCCTGTAAAACATGTTACATTTCTAACTTTTAATGTTCTCTGCCTGAAATAACGTGGAATATTTTAACGATCGCCAGTTTTAGGCATGTTCAGATAATTTAAACGTCATGTAAGATTCTGTTTGAAAACAACTTTCAAATGTTAGATTAACTTGATTTAAGTGGAATCTTAAAATAATTTATTAATATTTAACGACTTATCTAATGAACTGCATAGTTCAGAGCCAGCCGGCAACTTTTGAACCTAACGAAGTGTGAGTTAAACTCGTTTCCAATTGAGTAAGGTTCTGTAGAGTTTAACTTTATCTGAGGCGTACACAGGGGGGGGGATATGCGGGCTCAGTCCCTCCCTGGTTAGTAAAATAAAAGTTTCCCGGGAGTTTGGAGGCCCCAATTTTCAGATTTAAAAGTTTTCGTCTCCGATATATCGCGGATTTCCAGGCTCTTCTACAGAGTATTGATTTCAATCATGATTATACGGGTGTTTACTTTAACAAACCAAACAACAGAATTTATTAAATGTAAATATTTGCTCGGGTTTAACAAGTCATTTCTAACCCTAGGCTCATCTTTAAGATTTATACGAACTCGGGTTTAGGCGGCGGAGATGCAATCAATAAATCTAATATTCCAGGGGTGTATATATTTTTTAAATTGTTCATTGGATTATGGCAAATTTAACATAAGTTCAAGGCATATTTTATGCTCAGTGAATTTTTTCTGTGAAACGAAATTTAATTTTTTTTTCTCATTGAATTTTGGAGAAGATTATTTTTTTTTTTNTAGTATTTGAAAATTCATACTTCTGCTGTGTAGCTGTAGGCGTTACTATTGATTCACATATTTAAATGATTGCTTTATTTCCATTATAGAGATAAGAATAATAACGTCTGCTACTAGTCATTGTTTCTATAATAGGATTAGGCCTACACTTCCTGTTATTCATAAACTCTTAAAATCCAAACATTAAATATTTCCTTAAAAAATTGTTAAAACGTAATATATTAAAACTGCAATCCGAACAAATATCTTGATAGCATTTTTATCTGTAATCATATAGGGCTGATACTACTAATATCTGTCCTTACGATATTTCCTGTCACATTATAGCGATAACGGAGCAATTTACTTGACTCCGACTCTAAATTTCTATATGTTTGTTACCTGATGGCGTAAATCCGTGATATTTCAAATTTTTACTTTTTGATATAGCAGACTTCCAAGTTTGAAATATCAATGGTTACGAATTCATCACAAGAAATTTTGTCCAAACTGAACCTTTTAAATCAGTACCAGTATCAGCTGAATACATTTGTTCCATCCTGAATCCCTTATAGACTAGTAAAGTCGTCCAGCAGTGGCCGAATTTAAAGAATTTGATCGACGGTTTCAATTTAAGCCGGGTTTTGGCGGATTTAAACCGCGGCTCAAATTCTTTAAATATATCTCTGTATGCCTTAGTTTTGATCCATTTTTAATCCATTTTACAAGTTTATACCTGGGGGGATGATAGTTCTCTAACTGTGTGCTCAGTTAGCTTTACAGTACACTTACAACTGTTTACTGATAATGATATACTATATGTGAGGCCAGAATCTCCTTATAATAAACAAATATGCAGTACGCTCTCGGTATAGTTCCCGGCCTATATAATTAGTAAAGGATTAGCGTACATCATCACTCTATATACTATAACCTCGTTGTTTTATACCTTAGAAACAGTTTATTCGTCCCTGTATAATTAATGTCATATATTCTAGAATGAGAAAGCCCGTGACTCCAGCCTGGCTGCTCTGGCTGATTTTGATAAATCAAGTTTGAAGAAATCTGAAACCCTTGAGAAGAATCCTCTCCCTCCTGTGGAAGCAATTGCTCAGGAGATGGAGCATATCAAGTTCAAGGTAGGGAATATCATCATGCTTTCTTTAAACCTTAAAGGGATTTTAAACCTTAAAAATGTTACCCCTCTTCAAATTTAGGAATGCCTACTACTTAACTTCTATTTTCTCTGGTTGCTTGATGCTTCTGAATCGCGTGAAAAGTCTTTTTTATATTATTAGGAAATTCCATGAAAGCTTAAAGAATATTTAATTCAGTGTAACGACTTTATCACCCATTTATTCATTTTATGGGATTGCCAACGTGGTTAAGGAGTGACATCACCAATTCACAACAGTAACGGTACCCATTCAACCATCTTTATCAGATTTTAGATTATTTATGGTCGTTATATCTAATTTCAGCTGTTTAATGGCTTATCCGTAGTAAAGAAATCTAATAGGTCCTTTCTATAAAAGCTACTGCTTGACAAATGACCATTTCGAATTGTGAATCGTTGATAACACGATTTAAATAGAGGCTAGGGTCATTTTAAATCTTTGTAATGTATAAAAACTAATAATTTTTGTGTTTAGAGCGGTATTGAAGGGTTTGATAAGAACTCCCTTGCTCATACTGAGACTGTAGAGAAGAACAGTCTTCCAACCACGGAAACTATAGCTCAGGAGAAATCTGCATAACTCTACCTCAGATCTTGCATCCAGTGCATTTATCAACCTTGGGTATAAGGACATCTGAGACCAGACTTGTATTTTGCTTTATCTCCGGCCCTGACACTAATGAAGCGTCTGTTAAGATTTGAACCGTATAAGGATTAGTATCCAGTGAAAATTCCATATTTTTATCTTTACTGTATCGTGTGCTGTACTAATAGTATCGCCAATTGGCGATCCATGCCATGTTTATGCTTTAATTATGTTTTAAGAAATAAAATGATTATATTTATTTCAGAATAAAAATTACAACTAAAAATTAGATTTATAGTTCAGGTTGTACAAACAAATCTAATTTGCTCTGGGTAAAGCAGATCCACTACCTTCTGGAAAACGCCTAAAACAAAATAATATCTGATTAATGTTTGTAAAATCTTACATTTTAACTATTTTTTTAGTTTTCTCCACTTTTTTCCTGTAAAAATCTGATTAGAGTTTGAGCTGTACGTATAAGCAAAAATCTTCATTTTTTGTTCAATGTTTTTTCGAAATTTGTAATTTTGTGAAAGCTAGAAATCTGGGACCTGTACTTCTCCCCAGAACCTCGGGTTGAGCTCCAGTGTTCAGGTTTATCTGAAGGAACAGATCCGAAGCCATCTATAATATAATTTAGGATTAAGGAATTTTGGAAAAGAAAGGATCAAAGATACTTCAAAAACTACCTAAACTTAACGATGCAAAGATTAAAGATTAATCTTTGATTGATTTATCAAAAGATTGGTAATAAAAGCAACTAGCCTACAACTGTAGGGAACCACGAACTTGATAAGAAAAAAAATAGATTAAATTCTGTACAACTGACTTTGCAGTTACAGTTATTATTTTCAAGACACTAGAACTTAAGTATATACATAATATTCTTCAGATGGAAACTTCGAGAAATCAGATTTATTATAAATGAATAGGTATAGCGAACACCAGGCCCCCTAGCCTGATTAAAGGGGGTAAGCCCTTCCCCTTAAAAGGCTTGGCTCACCCCTGTAAGGGTGGGGGGGGGGCTAGTTCCAAAAATAGCTGATTTTCTCGAAAATTTGAAAATGATATGCCCCCACAGTAATTTTTTTTAACCTTACCTCTTTCTTAAAGGAAACTCAAATTCAGATAACATTTTTCTTTATAAGCTCAGATTTTTTCATTTTCCCCCCTTTCTGTAGAAAATGCCAACCAAATTGGATTTTTAAGATTACACTCACACATTCTTATTCATATATCCCCACCAGACTTTAATTTGCCCCTTTATTCAACATTTGTAACCCTTACTTTTAGAATACCACCAAATATTTTTAGTTTGCACCCGAATTTAATTTTTCTTTCCCCAAATGTTAATTAAATGCCCCTACGTTTTTTAAGATATTTCTCCAAAATTAAGTAGTTTTGCGCCCAACAAAAAAATAAACCCTTAAATAAAATTAATTAAAATTAAAATAAGTTTACTCGTGTAGTCCACTATCCACTAAAATCCAATATTTCTTTGATCACTGAAGTACACAACGAATTTTTAAAGTGAATCGTAAAAAGAGATAAAGATCAGAACAAACATGGTTTTATACCACAAATAAAATCCTTGTTATCGAATATTTAAAATAATATTTTTAAACCTTATTGTTGAAGAGAGACATAAGTATTTTCCTGACTGTTTCAATCTGTAGAATGATAAACCCTACTCCAGGTTTCTCGTCACACGTCCTACAATAGAACAAGAAAATTGTATTGAGCAACAAACCCTAAAGCAAAACATAAATCAAAACTTGTTGGCCTAATATACTATGTTATTGTCTTTTTGGCGCTACGACACTAGCTCTATGGCTAAAAAGTCTGTTTGGGTATTTTCTTAAATTCCTAAGAGCAGTACTCATTCTTGCATATATCTATATATTTTTGCAAAGGATATGAGTTTTTGCCACAAACTCAATTTTCGAATTCCTATATCTTTTCAACCTGATAGTGTAAACATTTGATATTCCAAAAATCAGACTATTTGATCTAACAGTTTGAAATATCAAAGGTCTACGACATCGGGTTGCAAAGACATAGGGATTAGTAAATTTAGGATTGTGGCAAAGGCTCAGTTCGTTTCTTTAAAAGTCAGAGATACAATATCGTTTGATTCTGTAAATTTTATGCTTTGGGAGGCCCCCACAATGCATGTGTGTATGTATAAGGAAGGTTGAATATAAAAGAAATGCTTATCACTTACTTGAGATCAGTGAAATTATTGGTCTGTTTCTCATTTGGTTGGACGAATACCAGAGAAGGATTGTTTGAATAGATATCTTTCTTCTCAACTGATCTGACACCTATCCTTGAGTTCTGAATAGGGTTGGGTTCTACTCCCAGATCTCCGGGTATAGGTTGAACTAGGCTAGATAGGTTTGATATGTCTCCATGAAAAGTCTCTGTTTCTCTGAATACAAATTGTACTAAACATCTTTTCATATTTTTTTCAACTAGTTTCAAATACCTTGAAAGATAGAAGGTCTGCGTAATGTTAAAGTCTTCCTTGAGAAGAAGGAGAAAATTACAAACTTCACAGATTTGCGTCAAAACCTCGCAAACATCCTGCAAAGCAAATATTCGAATAATTAGGTTAAAGTTTGTTGGTTCAGTTTGATTTGTTTATTTCCGGGGGCAGACGCTTCCCCACACTCGAAGGTTGGAGTTCAGCGTCTGCCCGTTTCCGAGTGAATTTATCGAATAAAGATGCCGAGAATATGTTCCAGGCAGATATTAGGTTTAGAATGTCACTTTTGTAAAATCACAATTGGACATATCAGTGTTAAGAATTATAAACTTGGAAATCTACTTCATACTGGATCGAACAAAGATTTCAAGGGTACCGTTGTGAATCGGAAATTTCATTTGGGGTCACTTAAAATTTCGCGTACTCTCCTTTTAAAATTTGTAAATCTGTCACCTAACCTGCTCGGATTGCCATGAGCAAAACTGGTTTAAAATCTGTAAATCTGTATCCTAACCTCCTCGGATTGCTGGGAGCAAAACTGGTTTAAAATCTGTCACCTAACCTCCTCGGATTGCCAGGAGGAAAACTGGTTTAAAATCTGTAAATCTGTATTCTAACCTGCTCGGATTGCTGGAAGCAAAACTGGTTTAAAATCTGTAAATCTGTATCCTAACCTGATCGGATGCTGGGAGCAAAGCTGGTATGAAATCTGTAAATCTGTATCCTAACCTGCTCGGATTGCAGGGAGCAAAGCTGGTATGAAATCTGGAAATCTGTAATCTAACCTGCTCGGATTGCTGGGAGCAAAACTGGTATGAAATCTGGAAATCTGTATTCTAACATTGCTGGGAGCAAAACTGGTTTAAAATCTGGAAATCATTATTATAACCTGCTTAGATTGCTGGAAGCAAAACTGGTTAAAACTCTAGAAATCTGTATCCTAACCTGCTCGGATTGCTGGGAGCAAAACTGGTTTAAAATTTAGAAATCATTATTATAACCTGCTTAGATTGCTGGAAGCAAAACTGGTTAAAACTCTAGAAATCTGTATCCTAACCTGCTCGGATTGCATGGAGCAAAGCTGGAATGAAACCTGGAAATCTGTATTCTAACCTGCTCGGATTGCTGGGAGCAAAACTGGTATGAAATCTGGACATCTGTATTCTAACCTGCTCGGATTGCTGCAAGCAAAACTGGTATGAAATCTGTAAATCTGTATCCTAACCTGCTCGGATTGCTGGGAGCAAAACTGGTTTAAAATCTGGAAATCTGTATCCTAACCTGCTCGGATTGCTGGGAGCAAAACTGGTATGAAATCTGGAAATCTGTATTCTAACCTGCTCGCTTTGAGCAAAACTGGTTTAAAATCTGGAAATCTGTATCCTAACCTGCTCGGATTGCTGGGAGCAAAACTGGTATGAAATCTGGAAATCTGTATTCTAACCTGCTCGCATTGCTGGGAGCAAAACTGGTTTAAAATCTGGAAATCTGTATTCTAACCTGCTCGGATTGCTGGGAGCAAAGCTGGTTTGAAATCTGGAAATCTGTGCTCATTATATTCAGGTCAAATTTACAGTTTGTAGTGATAGCAATCTAAATTTAAATCGTTAAGCTATTCATTAACACAGTACAATTTTTATTTTGCAATTAAATCAATAAATTGATAAATTTTGCACGAAAAAATGTTAGTTATATTGAAATACTTTAGGTAGCTCGATATTATTAACAAAATTGAAGGATTTAAGTTTTCAGATTTATTTAAGTAAAACTCATAAATTAGTTAACGTTTACATATAAACAGTTAACATTTTAATAATAATTTTAAAAGGATTTGTGCTGGGTAAGACTCAAGGAATAAGACTTCATAAACGACTGTACAGAATCTGCTCAGTTTTTTTTCTTACATTTATGGTTCCCTAATATATTTTTCATATATTTATGGTTCCCTACTATATTTTTCTTACATTTATGGTTCCCTACTATATTTTTCTTACATTTATGGTTCCCTACTATATTTTTCTTACATTTATGGTTCCCTACTATATTTTTCTTACATTTATGGTTCCCTACTATATTTTTCTTACATTTATGGTTCCCTAC